ATTTCCAGGCAGCAGCATATTCTGCCATCCAATAGTTCCTACCATCAGGAAGATTTTTCTAATATTTAGGTGTAATCTCTCTTTCTGTAGCTTGAATCCTTTGTCCTGGAACACTACCTATCTTGAAGCATGGACAAATCAGCTCCATAGCAGCTGAACAATGCACAGAGCTGATTTGGTTAATAACATCCAAGGCCACCTTAACGTAGCCTTGAACAACATTAACCAAAGTTATGGTTTACTCCAAATTCTCCCAAGAACCAGGAGCCAGGAACCAACATGAACCAGGAACCAACATGACCATGTTGAGCCAGTTCTGAGACAAAGCCAGCCACAGCTGTTGCATGGCCAATTGGCTGTCCCTTTTTCCTTTTTCCTTTTTTCCTTTTTCCTTCCTTTTTCAGGTGGCCCAGGGACAAAGGATGGCTATTTCCATGCACACTTTGTCGTTATCTGTTTAATTCTGAGGTTCTATAAAATACTGATGCTGAAAATCAGCTTGACCTCTCTTGACCGGTGATGTGAATAGGTTGGAATGCAATCAGTGTTGGGCTTGGTAGTTCCTTTGGCCAAAGATATTGTTTGTTCTCTGCTCAGTTTCAGTGTTCATTCAAGGCATGTGGTGTGGTCAAGGCTATATCATCGGAGTCTTTTAAGCAGAGGCTGGATGGCCATCTGCCAGGGGTGCTCTGAATGCGATTTTCCTGCTTCTTGGAAGAATGAGGTTGGACTGGATGGCCCATGAGATCTCTTCCAACTCTATGATTCCATGATTCTATCATGTCCCACCTGGGATGAAAAAGTAGGGATGATATGGTTGTTGTAGGTTTTTCGGGCTATATGACCATGTTCTAGAAGCATTCTTTCCTGACGTTTCACCTGCATCTATGGCAAGCATCCTCAGAAGTTGTGAGGTCACAAAATCTGAAGATGCTTGCCATAGATGCAGGCAAAACGTCAGGAGAGAATGCTTCTAGAACATGGACATATAGCCTGAAAAATCTACAACAACTCAGTGATTCCAGCCAAGAAAGCCTTCGACAATATAGTAGGGATGATATTTCACTCCTACCTGACACCTTGGTAAGCTCTTAGACCAGTGTTTCTCAAACTGTGCCCCTCCACATGTTTGGACTTCAGCTCCCAGAAATCACAGTTTACCAGCTGTTAGGAATTGTTGGAGTTGAAGTCCAAAACATCTGGAGGAGCACAGTTTGAAAAACTCTGTCTTAGACTCTTAGAATGGCTCTACGAGGGTCGTAGCCAGAAAAAAAATCGGGGAGGGTAATTGGGGGGGGGGTTGAAAATTTGGGGAGGGTTGAAAATTTGGGGGGGGGGGTTGAAACCTGCCTCCTAGCTCACGCTGAAGCAAAGAGCACAGCAGGGGGCAGAGCAGCCTTCAATACCCTGCAGCTCCACCCTGTCAACCACCTCCACCAAGTCTGGCCTCCTTAATGAGAGCATTCAACACCCCCCCCCCCAACTTGGTTGCTTCACTACATCGGCTATTGCTGCAAGTAATGGCAGTGTGAATAAATTGTCAATATTTGCTTGAGATAGTGTTTTGCTTACAGTTCCGGAGGGACTCTTAATTTTTTGCATCTCATAGACTTAGCATGGGGATTTGGTTAACCAGTTAAAATTCATGAGTAAACCAGGTTTTTTAAAAAATCTGAAACATTTCGGATGGGGTTTGAACCCCTAAAACCACCCCCTCGCTACAGGCCTGAGCTCTACATAGACACTATCTTGTGGCCAATTTGGAGTGTTGAATGATGGATCATCTCTGGGATGGTTTTGATGACTATCCCATCCACCCAGAAAGTGGGAGAGAATCCTAACCATTCCCCATTCTTGTCACTGTGGCCAACGGATACAACATGACTAGTGTCCATCACTTGTTGCTCAGGTGTTACAGAGATGTGGAATTGCAGAAGGGAGAAATCCCCCCCCCCCTTCCTCTCCTCCCTTCTCCAATTGCCTTATCACACTGTCTAGGATCACCCCAGGTGACAAGCAATTGGCACAACTCTTTTGACACCCACTGGCCACTGCGATGACAAGAAAAAGGGAGGCGATAAAGGTGGTTCTCTGGCAATGCCAAAACTGGTTTGTCACCACTGGACAGTCAGGACTCCCTCTCATCTCTGCAGCACTTCTGTGTGTGTGGACAGAGGAGGTGGGCAGTCCAAACTATTTTGGTGCTGATCCAGCCTTTGCCACTCCACATTGGTCCTGGATAAGTATTATTTACTATTTATTTACTGGATTTATACCCCATCTTTCTCGACCATATTGTATGTATGTATATATTAACAACAACAACAACAACAACAACAAGAACAACAACAAAAATAACTTATTTTACCTTTGCTTTCACTACAGTCAGATTAATTCTCACTTCAAGTGGGGGAGTTTTTTTTATTTTCTTCCATTGTATCCTGTGCTTCAAATGTTTAGTTAAAAATATACTTGTATATAAGCAAAATTACTAGTAGGTGTGGGGAAAAAATTAAGAAACATTTTTAAGTGGTCAAAAACTGTGTTTCTCATGTACTGAGAAGAGATAAAACAGAGACAGTTGGATCTCACAAGATGTTACTTTTCCATTGCTAATGGAGTTGACATTTTATTACCTGTCTTCTTATTGCTCTTTGTCCTCATAGGGCAAATAACAGGAGCAGCTTCTGCTGGCATTGAAATCCCTCAATACAATCTTAATCGACAACATCTCAGGCAGAACATAGGTCTGTGATTAGAGCATCATCCCCATTGTTCTCCTGTGTGATTTTTAACATTTTTGCCTGATGAGGAAGCTTGCATGATATATGCTTTGGAGTTGGACCAAAAAAGACATTGCTGCTTGTGGGTTTTGGATTTTGTTATGCAGGGAAAAGGAGATGATGATGCCTGGCTAGGAGGACAGTTAAACTGTTCTAATAACTGGGTTTTTGTAGGTTTTTTTGGGCTGTATGGCCATGGTCTAGAGGCAGTCATTCCACAGATATATAAACCCTTTTTCCTATCTCCAACAGACCTCACTACCTCTGAGGATGCTTGCCACAGATGCAGGCAAAACATCAGGAGAGAATGCCTCTAGACCATGGCCATACAGCCCGAAAAAACCTACAACAACCCAATGATTCCGGCCATGAAAGCCTTCGACAATACACTGTTCTAATTAGTTTGGGTGTCCACATTATTCTGAAATGTGGGGTAGGCTTGTTCAATCTAGGTAAAAATTGACCCATTTTATGTCCCGGCTTTCAGTCTCGATCCATTTTTGTGAGCCTCCCAAAATTGGGAGGGCAGATATCGTTTTTGCTCTGGGATGCCAAAAGATCCATTTTCTATTGGACCATTATGGGGGGGGGGGGCTTCCCAGGCTCCCCTTCTCATCATTTTAGGTATTTAAGCTGTTTCTACTCTAGAGGGGAGGCACTCAGCTGGGGGGAGGTGCTCGATTTAAGGAGGTTTCTTTTACCTGTTACTCTACTCAAGAGGAGGGGTGCTCAGCATGCACACTTTCTTGGCTTGCACACCACACGTGCACTTTTCAAGGCAAGGAGGGAAGTTCTGTTTCTTACTCTAGAGGAGGCACTTGGCTGCAGGCAGGCATGAGCCTTTTCTGGGCCTGCATGCCACAGACAAACTCTTTCCGAGGCAAGGAGGCAAGTTCTATTTTTTACACTAGAGGAGACCCTTGGCTGTCGGCATGTGCATGCACATTCTGGGCCTGTATGCCACACATGCACTTTTTCCAAGGCAAGGAGGCTGCTCACAAAAAGAAAGTGAGGAGCCGGGATCGGCTCCCACTTGCTTTCGTGTCAAGCTGATTTTCGTACCAGGAGGGGGCTTCTCGTTATGGGCTTCAAAAGGTAATGAAAGTCACGAAAGAACTGATGTAATGAAGGAAACCAGATCTGTGAACAACTCTTGTGGGGCTGCTCTGCAGTTTCATGGACACTCCAGAACATTCCCTGACTTCTCCTAAAATGGGGTAAAACCAGGTTAACCGATTCCATCTTGCATTGCTAACCAGAAGCATGGTTGTTCAGATGGAGACAAGAGCCAGTAGTGACAAGCCCTAACTAATCTTGGCTTATAAAGAGAGTTCCAGCTTGATTTCTTCTATGATCCATTTGTTTGCCTTCTTTACAGTCCATGCTATCTGTCGAACTCTCTTCAAGCGCATGTCAAATGAGGTGATTTTCTTCCTAACAGCTTTCTTCACTGTCCAGCTTTCATAGCCATATATAGTAATGGGAAATATGATTGTGTCCTAATCCTAACATTAGTATTCTTCCAAAACAAACTATAGGAACAGGAAATATGATTGTATCCTAATCCTAATATTAGTATTCAGTGATATTTCTTTATGCTTAAGAACCCTGTCTAGATCCTTCTTCATTGCGGTTTCAAATACACATCTTCTTCTTATGTCTTGATTGAAGTCTCCATTCTGAGCCCAGGTATGTTACTGAGTCATCTGTTCCACACACACACACACACACACACACAGATTCTGGATCAGAGTCAATCCCAGTTCTTCTTGATACTGAAACTGTGGAGGATGCTGTACCTACATATGTGTTTGATGGTTTGCATTGTGTGTGTGTATGGAAAATGTGGGTGGATCGCTGGGGGAGAGATTGTGCAATTTCGCTTCTCATTAGTGTTGGTCATGAGTTGATGTGAGCAGGACTGAGGAGGAGGCTTTTTCAGGACATGTGTGTGTATGTGTGTGTGTGTTAGCCGGTTTTTACTCCTCTGCAAAAGAAATCCAAATTGAAGATAGTCACTTGTGGTTTGAGCTCTTGGTGGAGTGGAGACAGCATTATGTTCTCCATATACATGTGTCCTTGGTCTGACAGCCATAACTTCCACATGTGACTTGGTGGAGAGATATTACTCATCTCTAAAGGAAATTCTGGACATGCCTGCATTGAACCATTCTGCATTTTGCAATTAACTGTGCCTTCTCTTCTTCTCATTTCCAGGTGTTCTCTGCCAAGCCACAAGGAGGAGCCTGAAGCCAGACATGAGAAGGCTGGATTAATCTCACGGAGAGCCTAGAGTGAGATCTCTCTTTTCCCCCCTCTTGTTATGTCCAAGATCTGCACTTTACCTGGCCATTACTTTGAGTTCCAAAGGACCAGGGACCTAGGATGAGGAGGAGCGCTGGATATTCCTTGAACCTGCTTTTGTTATTGCCACTTTTCTTTGTGTGGACGGCAGTGGCCCTGGACTTGGGGCAATCTTCATGCACAACATTGGTCCAGGGCAAATTCTTTGGGTATTTCTCCTCGTTTGCTGTCTTCCCATTGAACGCTTCCCGTTGCTCTTGGATTATCCAGAATCCTGACCCAAGGAGATATACTTTGTACATGAAGGTCTTGAAGCCCGCCGGGGTGTGTGACCACCAGCTGATACGCACATACCAGTTTGACTCGTTCTTGGAGTCAACACGGACGTACCTGGGCATGGAGAGCTTCGATGATGTGCTGAACCTTTGTGACAGCTCCACCCGATATGCCTTCCTCCAGTCCAACAAGCAATTCCTCCAGATGAAACAGATGGGGTCTCCCTTAGAAAGTGGCCCTGTCCGGTGGAAGCCCTTCAAAGTTCAGGAGAGAGATTTCTCTGTGGAATACCTGGTGGTGGGCAACCGAAGTCCAAGCAAAGCTGCCTGTCAGATGTTGTGCAAATGGCTGGATACTTGTTTAACCACCAGCAGCAGCTCCCACCCATGTGGCATCATGCAAACACCATGTTCCTGCTCCAACGGGGAGGCATTGGATCAGCCCAGCGAGATCCTTGGGATAACCAAAAAGAAGGATGGTTGTTTTAAGGGTGGGATTTACCTGGAGAACTGCTTGAGCAGCCCCAAAGACAGCAGCGGGCTGGATTTACTGGGTAAGTGGGGTGACTTGGTGCTGTTGGTTCCAGACTTTGAATGGAACGGAAATGATTTGGGGTAAAAATGTTCCCTTTTCCTATTGTTGCTAGTGTTAAAGTCACAGCAAGTGTCTTGGGCATAGGTAAATGTCTTCTGGTTTGAAATGTTTTTGGCTTGCCATATTCAAATCATACCCATGTTGAAAAGTTGACTCTGGTTTGCAGTCTTTTGGGATCTTTTCCTCAGAGAATGATGGGTACTAGAATGTGTTCAGCGTAATAGAGTGTTTATCAACCTAAGAAGATTTGCAGCATTTATATGATACTGTGAACCACATGTCTTAACTGGGGTTCAGTGAGGTTTAGCTCTTTCTATATAAATATTTCAATATACAGGAAACCAGGAAAATTGTTTGCATGACCAGGGTGATGAGTTAATATTAGAGAGGTGCAAACTGGCTAGCTGACTCAATCTTCTAATTTACTCCAAGACCCTCCCTTCATTGTCTAATGTCTTAGAAGAGGGTGAGCTTTCTGAAGTCTTCCAGCTGTTTGACTACTAGGGCTGTCCAACCATGGAAAAAATTGTTTCTAAACTCGATTCGTTTTTAGGGGGTTTTTGCGTTTCGTTATTTAAAAGAATTCCGAAATTTTTCTTTTAAAAAGTTCGATATTTACGAAATTTCGGAAATTACGAAACAATTTCGAAACAATAACGAATCGATTCGTTAATGGCGGACGCGATTGCGCAATACGCTAAAAAACCTCCAAATGGGACAGGGGGAACTTCTGAAGCTTCCCTCTCCCTCTGTTGTTGACTGTTGGTGTGATAATTTTTTTTATCACTGATAAAACAAACAACGACTATAAAACTTGCACCAGACATACGGAAATAATAACGAAATAATAACGAAACAATTTCGAAACAATTACGAAACGAATTGGAAAAATTCGTTTCGTTTTTTAGTTGCTCCTGAATGGTTCAATAGCGCTTCGTTATAAAAAAAACGAATTAATAACGAATTACGAAATTAAGGAACGAAACCGCCCAGCCCTATTGACTACAACTCCCAACATTCTTCACTGCTGACAATGTTGACCAGGGCTGCTGGAATCTAAAGTCCAACAAGAGCTGATTATTAGGGCTAGCCATAAAAAAAAACCTTTAAAAATAAATAAAAAATAAATTTTAGTTGACTGCATGTTTTTTACACTTGTCTTGTGAAAATAAACAAAAAACATGTGAGACGTACAATCCTACCATTTCTGAGATCTCTCAGAGTCCAGAGATCCAAACTATTGTTTTCATATTACTGCTACTGAAACATAGAATGATAAATTTACCAAGTTGTAGGGCCCTTCTACACAGACACATAATGCAGCTTGGATCTGGCATAAAATAAACCTTCTTCCCTTCTCCCAAACTCTTTGCTCATTCAATGATGACAAGAAAGGAAGTCAATAGCTTGGAGCTCCAGAAAGTGTAGATTATCATTCTTTTTGGGAGGGGGAGTTGGGGTGCTTGGGGTCATGAAGGATTATTCCCCCCCCCCTCCAGATTGGTCATCCCTCCACATTTCAGTTTTTGGCTTTTACACTTTATTATTCATGGATTTGATTTAAAATGTATGGCTAGAAATACCTGTGTCCTCTAGAGTATTAATTTATCATATCGGGAGCAAACCAAAGATATAGTTGTAATGTATTTTTTTTTAAAAAAATTGTGCCAGCCTCAACTTCTCCCATGAGCCCCCCCAGCGGACCTTCTGCAGCCCCCCCCCGAGCACGTGGTGCCCACCCTGAGCCCCCCAACCAGCCAGGGGACCTTCCTCCTGCCCTCGTACCCGTTCTCCTCACCCCGGCACAGCCTGAAGCGCAGCTCCCCTCCCAGAAATGGGAGCCCCAGAAATCCCTACAGAAATGTTCTCTTGGGATAAAAAATGCATTTTTTGTTTGAAATGTCTTACGTTGCCCTAACTTACTGTGTCCCTAACTCTAGTGAATATAAAGGAATTACTCTATTTTGGGGGGGGGGGGCTGCAGAAGGTCCGCTGGGGGGGCTCATGGGAGAAGTTGAGGCTGGCACAATTTTTTTAAAAAAAAATACATTACAACTATAATTTTAATTTATAGAGTTTTAATTTGTTTTCAATGTCTTTGCTGTGGAGGAGACCTCTGCTTGTGTTTGTGTGTGGGAAACCTAGGGCCCTTCCACACAGCCCTATATCCCAGGATATCAAGGCAGAAAATCCCACATTACCCGAGTGTAGGCTCAGATAACTGAGTTCAAAGCAGATATTGTGGGATTTTCTGCCTTGAAATTCCAGGAAATAGGATTGTGCGGAAGGGCCCCCTGTGTCACTTTCTCTAAGCAAATGCTGCAGTAGGCCTTGGCCAAAGGTAGCAGGTGGTAACTGTTTGGTTGAATATGAATATCCTTCAGCATAGCCAGAGTTATCTTTGGAAGATGAAGACATTTGGTCCACATTTACAATGGCAGAGCTGTTGAGTTTGGGAAGGGGAGCGGGTACACAAAAGCTTCTCAGAGAAATCAACAGTAGTTTGGAGAGCTTTTTGTTTAGTCATTTTCTGCTGAGATTGTTTAAAAGCCATCTGAGATATTGTACATATCTCTGGCCATTGACACAGAAATACTAAGGAGAGGGGTTTTCTCACATGGGAGATATATGCTACCCAATCTCAACATGGTGCCTTAGCAAGTGGCCAATGTGTGTGTGTTGTTTGCGTGGAATTCGGATTAACCTGGAGAATTTTTCTCCTTACCAAAGCCTCGAGAAGAGGGCTTCTTAACCCTTTTCCATTCACAATCCCTTTCCACCCAATAAATGTTTATGTGGTTTATTTTCTATATGGGTATAGAAAATAGGTATGCTGTGCTGGTACGGCTGTATCAGGAGCTTCAGCTTCATTTTCTTTCTGTTGAGTGTTTGCATATATTCCAAGGTTCTATGCATTTTGCAGTAAGGTGGCTTCCCTTGGTTTGCAATTATAGAGCCAATGACCTGTCTATCATTGTTAAGTTTTGGTTCCGCCCCTTTTTCCAGGGTTTTGGGAGGGAAAGGGAACCATTTTAGTCAGTCTTATAGTGGAAAGCTTAGCTACAGGACGTGGATCAGCTCCATCTGTAGACAAGCTTCGTTTCTCACAACATCCGGGGAAAACAGCCCCAAAACATCTGGGGGAAACAGCTCCTCATCTTTAGTGGAAAAGCTCCAAAAGAACTCCAGCTGGAGAATTTACAGAGCGTTGACTGGTAGGTCTACTCAGGTAACCAGAAGCAATTGGAACCGGGAGTAGAGCCCAAACCAGCAAGTCATAGAAAGCAGATTGCCAGAGAGGGGTTAAAAAGGGTTTTCCTTGTAAAGGATAGAAACATTTCTCCAAGCAAGGTGCCTGTCCATTGTGGACAAGTTAAGAAGCATTCGTTTGATTTGATAAAGATCTAAGAAGCATTTGATTGTTTGTTGAAGATCTAAGCAATAATAAAGGACTTTGTTAAACTTTTCAAGCATCTAAAGACTTTTGTATAGGAAAATCCTTAGGCCTCTCACTCAAGGCACCCCGGCTTCCCGCTGGGCACAAAGAGCATGTCCTGTTCAAAAGACAATTATTATAGGCCCAGCGCGTGACAGCACATTTGCAAATCAAGTAATTACTGATAATAAAACAGCATTTGCAGGACTTGCTAAACAAACTGTTTTTCCTTTTTATGAAATATAGCTGAAGCATCTTCTGCAAAGTCCACTGTCAATACTACACATTGTTTCTAACAGGTTTGTGTAAATGGGTGACATTAAAAAACCCTTCACTCTTGTCATTTTTTTCGTGATCCCAACATGGAGCTAAGGGGACCACATTTGGGGTCAGGACCCACAGTTTAATAGCAGTAGGCTTGTACAATTTGGCTGGAGAGTGATCTGTTTTTGGTATCCAAAATTCATTGGGTACCCAGATCCATTTTTGGGAGCCTCCAAAAAAATCAGCTAATGGAAAAATCTGTTTTTGACTAGGCAGCCGGAAGATCCAGGAAGATCCAGCCCATTAGTGGGAATGGGGAACTTACAAGGCTCTACTTTCCATTCCTGGGATCTTTTCCTGTCATCCTTTCAAGGGAGTCTGGGTTTGAAGAATGAACTTAAGGAAGTACCCCTCCTGGGACCCTTTCCTTTCTTCCTTTCAAGGGGGTCTCTGTTTGAGGAATGGGGTTAAGGAAGCATGAGCTGCATGCTCCTGAATAGAATCATAGAATCAAAGAGTTGGAAGAGACCTCATGGGCCATCCAGTCCAACCCCATTCTTCCAAGAAGCAGGAATATTGCATTCAAATCACCCCTGACAGATGGCCATCCAGCCTCTGTTTAAAAGCTTCCAAAGAAGGAGCCTCCACCACACTCCGGGGCAGAGAGTTCCACTGCTGAACGGACTCTCACAGTCAGGAAGTTCTTCCTCGTGTTCAGATGGAATCTCCTCTCTTGTAGTTTGAAGCCATTGTTCGCGTCCTAGTCTCCAAGGAAGCAGAAAACAAGCTTGCTCCCTCCTCCCTGTGGCTTCCTCTCACATATTTATACATGGCTATCATATCTCCTCTCAGCCTTCTCTTCTTCAGGCTAAACATGCCCAGCTCCTTAAGCCGCTCCTCATAGGGCTTGCTCTCCAGACCCTTGATCATTTTAGTCACCCTCCTCTGGACACATTCAAGCTTGTCAATATCTCTCTTGGTGCCCAGAATTGGACACAATATTCCAGGTGTAGTCTAACCAAAGCGGAATAGAGCATGGGGAGCATTACTTCCCTAGACCTAGACACTATGCTCCTATTGATGCAGGCCAAAATCCCATTGGCTTTTTTTGCCGCCACATCACATTGTTGGCTCATGTTTAACTTGTTGTCCACGAGGACTCCAAGATCTTTTTCACACGTACTGCTCTCGAGCCAGGTGTCCCCCATTCTGTATCTTTGCATTTCGTTTTTCCTGCCAAAGTGGAGTATCTTGCATTT